CAGAGCATGTAGCCACTGGATACACTCCAGCAAAGTTAATGTTTGGTCGGTTGCCAGTGGATCTGTTAACAGGACGCCCACCTTATGAAGAGTTGCCTGAAAATGTGTCAGAGTTTGTGAAAGTGTTATCGGAAAGGATGGATGATATTCACCATCAAGTGAGTTCAAACTTGAAAATGTCTGCTGATTCCATGAAGCTATGTTATGATAAGAAGTCTACTGAAGTCAGCTTTGTACCATGAGACTTGGTGTGGTTGTATAATCCCATATAGACCAAAGGGAAGTCTCCTAAGTTGTCTTCTCCATGGGAAGGCCCATATGACATAGTGGATCGTCTCTCAGACGTGACTTTCTGAATTAAATGTGGTCAGTGAGGTAAACCAAAGGTGGTGCATGCCAACAGGCTTTGGCATTATCACGGTCCAGGACATTTTAGTTGGGACGAAGTGAACAATTGAAGAAAAGACGCCGCTGAAGACATGTCACCTGAAAAAGCCACTGTCGAAGAAGAAACTCTACCTGGTTTTGAGAAGGGAAACAGTGAAGCCCTTGATGAAGTTACTACTACTGATGTGACTGTTACCAATAATAGGACATTTCCTGATGGAGCAGATGAACCCCACGTGAAGCAGAAGCCAACGAGATGGAGACCAGTATGGAAAAGATACGTCCTGTAAAATTAAGAGACTTTGTTGAATTTTAATTTTGTGTTTGTAAATTCTTTCCATTTAATTAAGTTATTGTTGATTATCTATTGGTTTAATGTAAGTGGCTATTGTTCGTCCGGAACAATACTAAGGAAGGGGCAGTGTTACGACAGCGAAATTCACGTGATGCTGGTAAGACGTAATGAGTATCTAGAATGTTCCTGAAGGCTCGAGTGTTTACCAGATGCCCTCTATTTGGTATATATAAGACCGGCGAGAAGTGACAGCATAGATAGATAGATAGTTGCAGACAGGCAGAGATAGAGATGGGCAATTGAATCAAGCATGGTAGTAAGTAAAATGCATGAATCGTTCGTTGTGAATTATAGCGTGTGTTTAAGTTAAAGTGACTGTGGAAGTTAAGTGTATTACAAAGTTGAATTGAGAAAGAATAAACTAGTTTTATTTAAGAAAGGGCTTGTATCACTGAAGTTTCTTGGGAAGAATTTCTACGAAAAATTCACAAACAAACACAGACGTAATAATATTGAAAGATAGCTAGAACCATATTATATGGCTTTTATTATTATTAATGCTATTCCAAGAGGTTTAGAGCACAAGCCTCAGGTTTGAAACCAAAATTAGACTTGCCCCTTTGTAAAAAATTACATCAGATATTTTTTATGAAATATTGAACAAGCTTTGTAAGATAACAACAACAAAAAAAAACAACATAACTCTCTGTATTAAATTACAAGAAAAGTCTATGAAACTACAGGCACACCGGGATTTCACTTCAGGTGTAAAGTTTTTTTATTGTAATATAAAAGTGTCATTGACGTATGTGTGTTACATCTTTGAGGTTTCATGACTTTAATCCTTAGTATGAGTTTAAAAGAATCTGTATATATGAGTGAAATAAAATTTTATTAGGCATTTTTAATGCCTCATTATTTGGATTGTTGCATAATTTTGCTTTATTATAACTTTATATCTTAGCAAAAATAACTGAAACAATAATTTTAACTGGGTAAAAATGAGGGTTCAGTATGAATTTATCTGAAGTTTCATATTGTTAAGTAAGTATCATATTAAAAAAATGTGTCAGTTAGATACCAACATTCTAAACAGGATGCTGCAGATATTTAACAAATTGAAGGATGAAAAGTTTACTTGTACTTTTATGGAACATGTAACTTATTCTCAGGTGTCTAGAACTCAGGCATCCATTCACCCTGGAACTCAGAAAGTAGTATCAATTGCTCAAGGTCAACAGCAGCAATCATCACAAGGTTCCAGAGCTACTGTAACAGTGGCCGTTCCTGCTTCCGTTGCTGTGGTAGCTCCTACCCATTCTCAGTCTTGTAACCAACAACTTCAGACTCAGCAGCAAAATGTTGTTGTACAAGTGAGTTCTACAGGTGGAACTCCTCAGTTTATAGCTGTAGCTGGTAAGTCAAATATTTTCTAATGTAAGGTATATTGTAGTATTTGAAAAATTTTGTATTATGTAAGCATAATTGAAAGTTTCCTTTTTTTGTGTGTCTTTTTAAACTTAATGAAAAAAATTGTAACAGGATTAAGCCATTTGTTTTTTATTCACTAAATATTTCTGTAAATCAAACATTTATTATATACATTGTATCTGCAGTTTTGTAACTTCTATCACTTTTGTTTGCTATGTGGTTGGACAATTTCACTTCAATGTTTAGTAATTCACTAAGCAGACCCAACCTTGTCAGGTTTTCTTTGGATAAAGACCAAATACCCCTCTAATCAGGAAGGTACTCAACTGATGACCTGAGGCAGAGTGACCATGGCATAGAGGCTTTTTGTAATTTGCCTGTTACTCTTATTAAGACTAATTATTATTAATTGTAATTTATACTAAAGATTTTTATCAACTTTTCTGTTAGAAGTTATTAAATAATTATAATTGACTTGTTTAAGAACTTCATATCCTGTATAATATGGTTGTCATTAAGTTCCTCAATCAGATGGACAAGGTACCGTGGCTCTTCAGGCTGCACAACCCACATATGTACAGTATTTAGATGGTGGAGGTGATCCTGGAATGTTTGGAGGAACAAATACTTCAATGTATGTACTTCTCACATATCAGCTGCTGTTAAAGTTATATTTTACAAGCACATAAAAATTAATATGCAGCAACTATTGTTATATTGCAGTAAGTAATTAAGAAAATTAGTTTAGTGGTTTTTGATAAGGAGCTTGATTCTTCTATGAGGCCTATAAAATACTCCAAATTTTGCTGTAGTATACCTTTTGTTAATTCCTTTATTTCTAGTAAATAAAAAAGTATATCTGTGTATTTGTAGTTGTATTATGCAATTTTTAATTATCTTTGAAGAGATTATGCTTTTTCAATGTATTGTTTTCTGACTGTGCACAATATTTAGTAATATTGTGTTACAGTTTGATAATATGATGACTTCAAAAACTTTCAGTGTTTGATCCATCCTACCACTAGAAATGTTATGCTATTCCTAATTACAATAAATCATTGTTGTCATTTTTTTATTTTCTTTTTTAGAACAGGATATCCAGTGTACAGTGTCACAGATTCAGCAACCATGTATAGCCCATCTACAGCAGCAGCAGCAGCCTATTATAGTACTGGAACTGCTGTCACTTATTCTCAGGTACTAATAATAAACAACAACAAAAAATCAATATATATATATACCATAATTAAACCAGTCATACTTCCTGAGGCTCCATGAGCACTTTGATGTGTCTTTATGTGTAGTTATATCTCTCAATTACAACACAATTAATGGCCTTGCCATCAGTAATTACCTCTGTCTGTGATGCTATGTGAAGTCAATTACTTTCCACAGCTGGAGAAACTGTTTATAGGCAAAGCAAGAGGTTGTACAAACAATCTTAAAATGTCCAATCCATTATCTTGGATACAGGAATGTCGAGAGCCAGCACGGGCCCCTGGGCAAACATCCTTATCGTGCCCCCTTTCTCTCTTACCTCTCTTTTTTAACATTTTCAAGAATTTATCAAAAAGAAGATCCTAAATTAGGACAGCAACGAGCTCATAAACCAGACAAAATCATAGCAGCAGCCGTTTTTACTTCACAGTATAAGCGTAAAAATGTTAATAAGGTAACAACAAATA